GAGTAGGTCTACCTGACTGTAGTTGATAGTTGAATTTATTCTCTGAATTCTTAATTAATTATGGGGTTTCCTTTCATAAATTAAAGGAGAGACTGGCTTCCCCCAGTTGGAATAGCCTTCAGGTTTCCAGTTTCTCAAAATGTATCAGTTTTTGCATTACTGCTATGATTTTCTTTGTTTAGTCCTCATTTTCGCTGTGGTGATCTTACATTATATTAAAGTGTTTAAGAAGAAAAAATCAGGGGAAAAAAGAGCCCAAAACCCCAAATCCAAAGATGAGAGCTGCAGCTCCTGAACATGGGGTGAACCTGGCCAGGAGCCCAGGCAGCAGGGCTGGAAGGTCCTCAGCACAGCTGTAGGCACTGGTATAAAACCCAGGCTTCTCCAGCAGGGAAAAATGCCTGAGGTGTTCCACATGGGAATTTTGAAAACTTGTCTTATCTGTAATTACATGCCGGCAAATTTCATTTCCGTGGTGTTTGGCAGTTAATTTCTGGAAGTGTGGGGAAGACTGGAAAAACCTCGAGGACCATGGAGTCTAACACTGCTCATGTTCACCCACTAAACCCGTGCCCCCAAGGTACACATCCACACATCTTTTAAACACCTCCAGGGAGGGTGACTCAACCACTTCCCCGCTCCATGCTTGGGGGAAGAAATTTTCTCTTCAGCTCCACCTTTTTGCTGAGTAAAATGAGTGCAGCCTGCAGTTGGTAGGGATGAAGAGGGCTCTGATCATCTGACCAGAGGAAGGGCTGGAGACGCCTTTGTTTCACATGCAGTGTTAGTAATGCTGAGCTGGAAGCTCGTGGGGTGTTGTGTGGTCTGACTGACCTTTTTAGTTGTGGTTGTGCGTGTGCATATCCGTAACTTGTAGAAGCTCTGCTGACTCCATCTCAAAATATAACGGATGGGTAGTCAAACCACAGAAGCTCAATTTTGAGGTCAGTGCCTTGGGCTTCACAATTAATTTTGTATTTTGAAGCTTTAAAACCAAACTTAAACATAATGATTTGTACTACTTTGGCTGCTGCCAAATTCTGTAATTACTGTTGTTCAACAAGCACAATTATCTTTTGTTTTGGATTTTTAAAAACCTCAAAATCTAATGCAACTGTGTCTCAGATGTTCTCAGGCATTTATGAGTGTAGAGAAGGATGCTGTAGACGATTTGAGACTACGTTGTGTCTTTAAAACAGTGGTTTTGAGAATCTTTGTTGCCGAGTGTTTTGAAAGCTTTTTGCTCAGAAGAAAAATCAGAATACCTCCATATTTAAGAAGACGTTGTAAATGCAAATTAGCCAGACAATGGCATTTTAATAATGTTTTGTGAGGTTAGCATTGCATTAGTAAGGGTATTTTAGAAGTCACATATTATTTATACACAATGTGGTCTCAAGAGATTGCTTGTGAATATGTTCAAGGGCTTCTGGGATTTATGGATTCATTTAATGGTGGTTTTGTTTGGTTGCTTCGGGTTTTTCTTCCCACACTTCTGCTGCTGAGTTACTAGATTTGGTAACTCCTGTCTCACTCCACCTCCATTCCCCTCTAAATTTTTTTACTGAAAACGTGAAGGGTTATGGAATGAGGTAGCTTAGCTGACCATGATGGAGACGTGTGAACCTTGCTTTGTCCCATGGCTTAGGGATGTGTCCTGACAGTTTTAACATCTGCACTTGAAAATGCTCTTTGCTCTTTTCACCAGGTGAGTCCTGGTCATGTCCCATGTGGACAAAAAAGAAGGAAGATGCACATTGTGTTACAGTTTCTTTTGATATATGAGCTGAAACTGGCAGTGTGTGTTTTTAGCCCTTTTTCAATGGCAGGATTTTAAAGAAGAGCATGGAAATGGTGGAGCAGAATCCCTTAAGGAAAGGATCCTGCTCTCTCTCAGCAGGTGATGGGTGGTGAAAACATCACACTGAAGTCCACTCATTTGTACCTGATGTTTGTTCCTCAAGGGAAGCAGTAAGAATAACCTCTTCTTGGGCTTGGTTTTGCCTTTGTGGTGCAGACCCTGTTGAGATTTGTGCTGGAACCCATTAGAGAGTCTCCATCAGTTTTGTAATCAGCAGCTATTAATGGTATCTCTCAAGACAGCGGTTGGTTTAACCTTGTGTATAGAGCAACCAGCATCCTTGAGGATGCATTGTCCAAGCAGCAGTGTGTGCTGGAGATGAGTGAAGATGGTGGTGGTTTTCACCTCTTGGAGCTGCCAGGATTTGTCCTTTCTTTTCATATCCTCAGCACTGGTCTCTCTTCTGGTTTTCTATTTCCTAAGCTGGCCTGAAGTTTTCCAAAAGAGACAGAGCTTGGAGCGTTTTGTGGTGATGTTTCTAAAGGGTCTGAAGTTTTCGGGGGGCTGAGGAGGGGGAGGCCTGAGGGGGGGAAGAGTGAGATTTTTGTGTGCCCGCGTTGTTTTTCATCTCTTCCACACAATGGAGCTTTCAGAGAACCTCTCTTAAAAGGCATAGCTACAGCCTTTGTGTGAAGGGTGTGTCTGCTGGCAGGGTTTGCTGATGCAGACAGGCTGGGTGGTGATTAACAAAGGTCATTAGACTTTGGAATCTGGCAGGGCAGTGGGGTGGTGTGTCTTCTGCGCCGAGCAGGAGAGCTCCCCAGGGACAGGCCCGGCTGGAGCCTTCCCGCCTGCTGTCCCCCCTCACTCCCCCGCGCCTCCTCCTCCTCCTCCTCCTCCTCCTCCTGCTCCTGCTCCTGCGAGGCTCAGCTGCGTGTCGCCTCTGCCTGTAGGACAGCTTGGACCAGTGTCTTGACGCTGTGAACGCAGCGTTTTGTGGAGCGAGCAGCCACATTTTGTCATCCATGGGGCAGGGGAACCCAACCCTGAGGAGATGGTGTGGGGAAGCCCAAGCCTTCTGCTGAAGGAGAGAAAGGCGCAGCTTTGAGGAGGACGCAGGGGGAGCAGAGCAGAGACACGATTTGGAGGGCAAGCCACGCTGGAGAAAGGGAGATGTGGCTCTGGGGGATGGTGATTTTTAAAGCATCACCTAAGGAGGAGGAGTTAAAAAAAAGGTAAGGGGGGGGGGTTAAAAAAAAGGGGGGGGGGGGGGGGAAAGAAAAAAAGGCTGGTGTGCTTGAGCTGAAGCTGAGATAAGTGAGGCCATGTTGTGCACAGGCAAGAAGCTCTGAGGCTCTGAGTGCAGGAGTTGTCTGAGCTAAAATGGCTGCTCCCAAAGCTCAGAGGACTAGGGCAGCTTAGTGAGTCTTAAAGCTTCAGTGACGCAGGGGCTCATATCTCTTGAAAGTGTGATAAACACATTCAGTAGAGCTGTGGCTTGTTTGGCTGAGATGAAAGGACTAAGCTTGGGGGATGGGTAGTGAAAACTGGATGATCTGCTTTTCTGTGAAGTGCTCTAAATGCAGGAGTCGTCTGCTCCATGGAAAAATTTGTTTTCAGGTCTAATGGACTGTGCTAAAGGAGACGTGGGGTGGGGCTTCACTCACTGCTGTAATTTGATCCAGAGCAGATAGCAACCTCTTCCACACAATTTGGTCTGGTGCTTGCACATAAAAGCTTGAGTATCTCGATTATTGTAACTTTGTTAGCTGAAAAGAAGCTGGTGCAGCGTTCATTTTCTTTATTGGTGGTGAGAGGGAGTGGGGGGAGAGAAAGGACACGGTGCAGTCTGCAAAGTAATGTAGGTAAATATGAGGAGAGCCTCTGTGCTCCGGAATTTGACTAGCTAGAAGTTTATTTTAGCAGGCTATCAGAAGAAGCATTCTTTCATCTAAAATCCTGGTGCAGTACCCTCTCTTGTTTCTGTGCCTTCATGTTTTGGAGCTTTCTCCTCACTTTGTAGGTTGCTTCCTTCATACTCCACATACAACAAACACATGGGATTTAAATTGCTGTGGGCTGCAGTTGTGTCTTGGACCTCTGAAACGTTCCGTTTGTCATCCTTTTCCAGCAGATGGAATCTTAAAGAGGCAATTGCTGTATTAGCTTAGGAAGGTAGTTCTTGTGCCTAAGCACTGCACAGGGTAGGAGGGTCTAAGTCTTTTGTTTGGCTTGTGCTTTGTGTCTCCTGTCCTTCATGGCAGTGCAACCCTCTGTCGCAGGATTAATTGTCACCACTGAACCTCTGTTCTTTCGCTGTGTCTTATGTTGCTTTGTACTTGAAGGTATGCAGGGCTTTTGGATAAATCAAGGAAGTCATAATGGCTCTTGAGTCTTTGTAACTCATGCTTCCATTGTACTTTTTCAATATGGTTATTATTCCCGTTGTTGTCCTTTTCTTCCTCCGGCTGTCTCCATCCCCCAGACTGCCAAGGCACAAAGGTCTCGTCCCTAGAATAGGCTGAAATGAAACTGTAAACATTTTAACAAAGACTGGAGGTGCCCTTAAAAGCTTGGTGGAAGGGCAGAGCAAAGTATTCTGCCTTGGGTTTGTGTAAGTGTATCTAACCTTGCTGTTAGGTCTAGGCTTTCAATATCAGGACAGACAGTATGTTGTGAAGAAAGACAGATTCCTCCCTGTGAAAGCTTTTGATACATGGCACTGAATGAGTCAGGAATTGGCAGCTTCCAGGAAGGTTGGAGTGTGTCTCCTGAAGGCAGAAGCTGCTGTCTTCTGATTGTGAATTCCACTGTATGACTGGGAGTAATGTGCCATTTCTCTGCACATGGGCTGTGGTCTTTGAACAAGACCAAATTCTGAAAAACAGCCCGAGGTAAGGGAAGAGCCAAGAGGACAAAGTCCACTGGATCAGTAGTCAGTTGTCAGAGAGTTGAGTGTTCACAGAGTTGAGTCAGCAGCTTGTGGGCTACCTAGATAGGACTTCTTGTGGATCTGAGTAGACGCTTCTTAATAGGGTAAGGAAAGGTTGAGTTCCAGGCCGCTGTGTTTGTGGAATCTCTGCAAATGACTGAGTCATCAAAAGCTTGGTGTTACCTTGGTGTTTCCAGGATTTGTTCCAAAAGCGCTGCTGTAAACTCATGTCGTTCTTCTTCTCTCCTTCTCCTGTTTTTCTTGCAGATTTTTCTAATGTAAAAGATCACCCTGAACCATGGAGGTCCTGCAGTGTGATGGCTGCGATTTTCGAGCTCCATCCTACGAAGACCTGAAAGCTCACATTCAGGATGTTCACACTGCTTTCCTGCAGCCAACTGATGTCTCTGAGGAGAGTCCTACCCAGCCAAGGTCTGGTTCCATCAACGCCAGCAACCAGACCGAGGTTGAATTTTCTTCTGTAAAGGATGAATTCGCAATTGCAGATGACATAGCAGGTAAATCTCAACTCCAAGATTGATCTCAGCTCCTAAGATCTCAGCTCTTACCCCCTATTTTACATGTCTTATTTGAGTGTGTTTTAGTTTCTGCCTTTATTATGGTTTAAAAATCTGCATTATCTTTGTGGCTGTGTCAGCAAAGCAGATATCTAGCATCAGCCATACTGGCTCTGACCATGGTGCTTGTTTTTGGTTTTTTTTTTTTTTTTTTTTTTTTTCCTGCAAATGCAAGCATGGAGGATGGTTTTATTTCCCAGCTTCTTTTCATTGGATTCTTCATACAGATTTTTCATTTTCAGCTTTTCATGGTTGTTCTTCACTATGATGAACCACCTCAAAATTACAACTTTTGTTAGTTTTCAAACTGAAACTAGTTTTATTTTTCCCCCAAGGTAATTTTGGAAACTATCCACCCAAAACTGTACACCACAGTCATTTGTATGTAGAAATTATGCATAATGGTCACTTTTCTGACCATTGCCAGGTCTGTAGATATTACCGTAAGTGAGGGAATCCTCTAATGGTTATTTTCAGTTCAGGGTGTGGTTACATTCTTAAGCATACAGGGTGGGTGAAGGAAAAGCCTTTTTTTTTTAATTTACAAATTTACATATACACCTTAATTCTCATTTTAGGGCAAAATGCAACAAGTCAGATGGGGACTGGAAGTTACTATAGCCAGAGCCAGACTTTCTATGGCCAGCATATGGCTCCAAACCCTAAACCAACCAGCAAGTTTTTCCAGTGCAAGTTCTGTGTGCGTTACTTCCGTTCCAAAAACCTCCTCATAGAGCACACACGGAAGGTTCATGGAGCACAGGCTGGGGGGAGCTCAGTGGGGCCACCAGCTTCTAGTTCCCTAAATTACAACATCATGATGCATGAAGGGTTTGGTAAAGTTTTCAGTTGCCAGTTCTGCACCTACAAGTCACCCAGGCGTGCGAGGATTATTAAGCACCAGAAAATGTATCACAAAAACAACCTGAAAGAGAGTTCAGCTCCTGCTGCTGCTGCTGCTGCTGCTGCTGCTGCTGCTGTGTCTGAATCAACGTCTGCTTCTGTGCCAGTGCAGGAACCCTGCAAGGAGCTGCCGGCAGAGGTGGTGGAGCGGAGCATTTTGGAGTCGATGGTCAAGCCCCTGACCAAGTCTAGGGGCAACTTTTGCTGTGAGTGGTGCAGCTACCAGACACCTCGGAGGGAGCGCTGGTGTGACCACATGATGAAGAAGCACCGCAGCATGGTGAAAATCCTGTCGAGCCTGAGGCAGCAGCAGGATGGAACCAGCGCACCTGAGGTGCAGAGTAAGAGTGCCCAGAGTGCCTCTCCAAACTCGAATTACATGTCCATGAACACAACAGGACGTGAGATGTCGAGTGCTAATGTCTCAAACTTCAGGGGATCTATGGGCAATTCACTTATCAGGCCCAACTCTTCTACATCTTCAAAGTTTTCTTCTGTGTCTTACCCTCAAATGAAGCCTAAGTCACCTCACAACTCGGGCATGGTTAATTTGTCTGACAGATCCCGCTATGGAATTGCTGATATGACGAATTCTTCTGCTGACCTGGAAACAAGCAGTATGCTAAATGACTCCAGCTCAGATGAAGAGCTAAATGAAATGGACAGCGAGAATGGCTTAAACTCCATGGATCACCAGACCTCAGGAATGTCTGCAGAGCAGCTGATGGGATCTGATGGCAACAAACTATTGGAAACAAAGGGAATTCCCTTCAGGAGATACATGAACAGGTTCCAGTGTCCTTTCTGCCCTTTCCTGACGATGCACCGCCGAAGTATTTCCCGTCACATTGAGAACATCCACCTGTCTGGGAAGACGGCCGTGTACAAGTGTGACGAGTGCCCCTTCACCTGCAAGAGCTCTCTGAAGCTCGGTGCCCACAAGCAGTGCCACACAGGAGCAACATCCGACTGGGACACCATGAACTCCCAGGCCGAGAGCATTGCCTCGTCCCTGAATGACAGCGCGGTGTCCTACGAGAGTGGGAATATCAACGGCAGGAAGTCAGCTGGGATGATGGAACCCGTGCAGCCGCAGCCGCCGCAGCCGCAACCGCAGCAGCAGCAGCAGCAGCAGCAACAATCCCCCCAGCCCCATTCACAGCATCCATACAAGTGCACGTTGTGCAACTATTCCACCACCACTTTGAAAGGCCTCAGAGTTCATCAGCAGCACAAGCATTCCTTCTGTGACAACTTGCCAAAATACGATGGGCCGCCTTCAAATGCACCGCAGGAGAGCGAGGCAGATGCTCACCCCTCTGCCAGCACGGTGAAGAAGAGCCAGACCTCCATCCTTGGGCTCTCGTCTAAAAATAACTTTGTTGCAAAAGCCCCTAGGAAGGTCTCAAATGACTTCCCTTTAGATCTCTCTCCCGTGAAAAAGAGAACTAGAATTGATGAAATAGCGAGCAACCTGCAGAGCAAGATCAGCCAAAACAAACAGCAGGAGGATGCTGTGATTAACGTAGAGGATGACGAGGAAGAGGAGGAGGACAATGAGGTGGAGATAGAGGTGGAGTTAGACAGAGAGGAAGACCAAACAGAGCCAATGATAGAGGTTTCCAGTTCTTACGCACCCCAGCAAATGTGGGGCAGAGAGGCTAATGATTCCCAGAAGGAGGCGAGCTTCAGGAGCATGCAGCACGACTACAATTCCACCAACGGGGCGGAGATTGAGCTCACTTTGTCTGAGGATGAGGAGGACTACTACTCTGCTGTCAGCATGAAGGACCATCAGAGCCCTAATGCCTCTGTTCTGGGCAGCCAGTCCAACATGTACGGTACCGACCAGAACAACGAGAATTCGGAGTTCAGTGACTCTGGCAGGCTTTACTATTGTAAACACTGTGATTTCAGCAACAAATCTGCCAGGAGTGTTAGCACCCACTACCAGCGAATGCATCCCTACATCAAATTCAGCTTTAGGTACATCCTGGATCCCAATGATCACAGTGCAGTGTACCGGTGCCTCGAGTGCTACATTGACTATACAAATTTTGAGGACCTGCAGCAGCATTATGGGGAGCATCATCCTGAAGCTATGAATGTACTGAACTTTGATCATTCTGATCTGATCTACCGCTGCCGCTTCTGCTCTTACACAAGCCCAAATGTTAGAAGCCTGATGCCACATTACCAAAGAATGCATCCCACAGTGAAAATTAACAATGCAATGATATTTTCAAGCTACGTTGTTGAGCAGCAAGAAGGGCTGAACACAGAGTCTCAGACACTCAGAGAGATCTTGAATTCTGCTCCAAAAACTATGGCAACCTCCACCCCCGTGGCTCGCGGGACTGGTGTGCCAGCTGGTTTTAACAAAAGTGCCACCAAGAGTTTCAGTCCTGAATGTGAAAATCAGAAGGAACCTTCAGTCAACACTGTGGTTGTTTATGACTGTGACGTGTGTTCATTTGCAAGCCCTAACATGCATTCAGTTTTGGTGCACTACCAGAAAAAGCACCCCGAAGAAAAGGCCTCATATTTCAGAATCCAGAAGACCATGCGTGTAGTCTCTGTTGACAGGGGCTCTGCCCTCGCCCAAATGTCGTTTGAGCTGGGGGCTCCCATCTCCCCGAAACTCTCCAACTTGGCTTCTCAGCCTCCAGCACCCCCGCCACCACCCCCAGACCTCTCTACTGAGCTCTACTACTGCAAACACTGTTCCTACAGCAACCGCTCCGTCGTGGGGGTGCTTGTCCACTACCAAAAGAGGCACCCGGAGATCAAGGTCACGGCCAAGTACATCAGGCAGGCCCCGCCGACCGCAGCCATGATGAGGGCAGGGGAGCTGCCGCCCGGCATCCAGAGGCCACCGGTGTCCATGCAGCAGCTGGGCCGCGGCGGGACCGAGAGCTCCGTGAGCCCTCCGGAGAACGAGATGTTCTTCTGCCAGCACTGTGATTACGGGAACCGGACCGTCAAGGGCGTGCTCATCCACTACCAGAAGAAGCACCGCGACTTCAAAGCCAACGCGGATGTGATCAGGCAGCACACGGCCACCATCAGGAGCCTTTGTGACCGCGGCCAGAAGAAATCGGCCGGCAGCCTGCCTGCCCACGCCTCCGGCAGCGAGCGGGACAAGTCCAAGCTGAGAGCCCTCAAGTGCAGGCAGTGCAGCTACACCTCCCCTTACTTCTATGCATTGAGGAAGCATATTAAGAAAGACCACCCGACTCTGAAGGCCACGGTGACATCCATACTGAGGTGGGCGTTTCTGGATGGCTTGATAGAAGCTGGTTACCACTGTGAATGGTGCATTTATTCACACACAGAGCCAAGCGGCTTGCTTGTGCATTACCAAAGGAGGCATCCCGAGCATTATGTTGATTATACCTACATGGCAACCAAGCTCTGGGCAGGTCCTGATCCTTCCCCTCCTGCCCTAGTGATGCCAACAGAGATGAAGACCTATAAATGCAGGGACTGCATTTTTGAAGCATCTTCTATTTGGGATATTACCAATCACTACCAAGCATTTCACCCTTGGGCCATGAATGGGGATGAATCTGTGTTGTTAGATATCATTAAGGAGAAAGATACTGTTGAGAAAACCATGCCACAGCCTGATGAAGGTGGGGTCAGGATGGAATCTGAAGACCAGATAGCAACACCACAGATGGATCAGGATGCAGAGTGTGCAGAGGATCCCAGCCTTTCCCATGAAAAAACTGTGCAGCTGGCTTCTGCAAATCCTGCCATCTCCTCCACTCCATACCAGTGTACAGTGTGCCAGTCTGAGTACAACAACCTGCATGGCCTCCTGACACATTATGGCAAAAAGCATCCTGGCATGAAAGTGAAGGCAGCAGACTTTGCTCAGGATATAGACATTAACCCAGGGGCTGTGTACAAGTGCAGACACTGCCCCTACATTAACACACGCATTCATGGCGTCCTCACACACTACCAGAAGCGGCACCCATCGGTAAAAGTCACTGCTGAAGACTTTGTGCATGACGTGGAGCAGTCGACTGACATAGCTCAGAACGACGTGGAAGAGACAAGCAGGATTTTCAAGCAAGGCTATGGTGCTTACCGCTGCAAGCTCTGCCCCTACACCCACGGAACCCTTGAGAAGCTGAAAATCCACTATGAGAAGTACCACAATCAACCCGAGTTTGATGTTTTTGCCCAGTCACCACCCAAGGTGTCTGCCTCAGTGGAGCCAGACATGGTGACTGAAATCAAGACCTCCCCAGAAATTGCTGCTGAGGATGTTGGAGAGGTGTCCATGCCGGCGCCTCATTTCTCTAGTTCTCACTTAGTGTCTCACACAGTTTTCCGGTGTCAGCTCTGTAAATATTTCTGCTCCACCCGGAAGGGGATAGCAAGACACTACCGCATCAAACACAACAACGTCCGGGCGCAGCCGGAGGGCAAGAACAACCTCTTCAAGTGTGCTCTGTGCTCCTACACCAACCCCATCCGCAAAGGGCTCGCGGCACACTATCAGAAAAGACATGACATTGATGCTTACTACACTCACTGCCTGGCAGCCTCCAGGACAGTAAGCGACAAACCCAATAAAGTGATCATTCCATCGCCTCCCAAGGATGACACTCCTCAGCTCAGCGAGGAGCTGAGGAGGGCTGTGGAGAAGAAGAAGTGCTCGCTCTGCTCCTTCCAGTCCTTCAGCAAGAAGGGCATCGTGTCCCACTACATGAAGCGCCACCCTGGTGTTTTCCCTAAGAAGCAGCATGCCAGCAAGCTGGGGGGATACTTCACTGCCGTGTACGCTGATGAGCACGAAAAACCAGCTCCAGCCGAGGAGAGGAACGACTTTGAAAAGCCTGAGGTGGAGGCTGAGGCTCAGGAAATCGAGTGGCTTCCCTTCAGGTGCATTAAATGTTTCAAGCTGTCCTTCAGCACGGCAGAGCTGCTGTGCATGCATTACACTGACCACCACAGCAAGGATTTGAAGAGGGACTTTTCCATACTTGGAAGTGGCACCCGCTCTCAGAGCCCTGTCTACCAGTGCAAGCACTGTGATACAAAATTGCATAGCACGGCAGAGCTGACTGCACACTTGAATGGTCACAATGAGGAATTCCAGAAGCGTGCCAAACGTCAGGAGAGGAGGAAGCAGCTTTTGAGCAAGCAGAAATATGCAGATGGTGCTTTTGCAGATTTCAAACAAGAGAGGGTAAGGATTTGTGTGTCTGGTCTCTTTCTCTGCCCCCTGCTCCCCACCAGGGAGCCCACCAATGCCCACTTGCATGTTCTCTTTGACAGCCAAGTGACCACAGGCTAATGAATGACTCAGAGTGCCAGTGAGCTCCATAAGTCAATTACACATCCTGCTTTAATTTCCTCATCCATCCTCCCTTAGGTTCTGTAGGAAACCTTGTTCCTTCCTACCGCTTCCTTCAGTATTTTCTTTATCTTCTTTCCTCCCTCCCACGCTTCTGGAGGGCCATCTGTGTCTGACAGTCGCTTGTTCTTTTGTGGCAAGGCTGCCATGTACTTTGTCACAGATTCTCTACAAAATGTCCCATCCCCTTCTTCCATGTCCCTCTGAATAACACATCAGTTTTCTTCTCAACCTTCTCTCTCTCAGTCCTTTCTCTCATTGAGCACTCAGGATTAGCATGACACGGATCTCTGGTGACAGGAGCTTTGGGCAGGTGCCTCACAAGGAGAGGACCAAATTGTTTCTCCATTTCTTGCCAGCTTACCCGCTTCCTTCTGCTTCAGTTTGAAAAATGCACTTGCGCAGGAAAAGCTTTGCACAGAAGTTGGGGAAGTTCTGGGGTCCTGGAGGAGGAGGAGGAGGCACAGCTTCAGGCCAAACCAGAATGGTCTTCTAGAGGACCACTGTTAGCCATAAACTGAATGTTTCTTCTGCACAGATGTCTTGTCCACTTACTTTGTAGGCATTAACAATCTCAGCAGAAATTGAGCTTGCAGTTCTGCAAGACTGGACATCCAAGTATAGCATCAGGTCTAAAGTCTGGTCTGTGCTCCTGAAAACGAGGTGACAAATCCTGCTTCAGTGGTTTGTGCTTGTGTGCTCAAACAGGCCTTTGGACACTTGGAAGATGTCTCAAAACTCAAGGAGAGGAAGGTGGTTGGCTACAAGTGCAAATTTTGCGTGGAAGTCCATCCAACACTTCGAGCCATCTGTAATCACCTCCGCAAGCATGTCCAGTACGGGAATGTCTCTTCTGTGTCGGCCACTGTGAAGGTAAGAATTCCTTAAAGGTGACTGAAAGTGACTGAAACTACTTGCATTGTTTAAAATAAAGGCCTCGCTGATAACCTGTGGAGGGCTCTTGTGAAGCTGAATGGGTTTTGAACTGGGCATTCCGGTTCAGCATGGTGTTTTAATCTAACACTAAGTTTCTGAAGTGCATTTGGTTCATTTCAAGATGTTTTAACTTTTTCTCACTCTCGATCCAGGGGCATGAAGACTCTTTAATTCTCATTTCTTCTCAGCCACAGAGGAGTTGGTGTTGTTGATGACCATAAGACGGTTTATGAGCGGGAAACTTTCTCTCAGCTACTCTATGGGCAACATTTCTACTTAAGCTCAAAAAGAGTTGTTTGTTTCCTTTTTTTTCCTGTATGTGTATGATTTTTATTTTAGGAAAAGGAAGTGTGCACAAACGAATGTGTGAAGCTGCTTGTGGTGCACCTTTCCACATGGAATTTGCACGCTGGCTCCAAACAAAGCATTCAGTGGCCAGCTGAGCCAGTGATCCCCTCCAGGTGATTAGGTGCAAACATGTTGTTCCTTTCCCCCTGTGGAAAGGGGTGCCTCCTATGACATCTCCAAGGACAAGTGGTGTTCCAAAATCTGGTTTCCAGGGTATTTATTGGCAGGGGAAGTGAAAGTGAAGCAAGGCTGTGGGAGCTAGCTCTTGTCAGAGGCTCCTGCTGCATGAATGACAGGCCTATTTTGGTGACATAATCTGCTTTTTGTGATGAAACCCTGTCCTTCACAGCCTAACTCTCCCCACCTAAGAGAGCTTTCATGGCCCTGCCACTGACCTTTCCTTACCTTCTCATCTCGTGACAGATTCAGATGCTTCCCTCCTAAGAGTCCTTTCCCTCTCCTCCTCACTTCTCAAGTGATGCTTGTGTAGGGTCAGTGTTTTCTTTTGAGTAAATAAAATCTTGCATCAGGGAACAAAAGCTGAAAGGCACAGCCTAAAGAATGTGCTGGAAATGCCTCTTGCAGGTTATTTAAGTAGCTGCACAAATGCATGCTCTGGTTAGAAATGGGAAAGGAAGGTTATGAAAGAGAGTTAGAAAAAGGACTTTTTCTGTTTGCTCTATATTTTTAGAGGGTTCTGGGTCTTAGTCTACCAGCTTGTTTCTTGAGAAAACTTTGATGCTGATGGACAAAGTCTACTGAAGAGTAGACAGCTGTACTAGTCTGCAGGGTAGCTAAAGCAAAATAAACTAAAATTAACTTCTCTGGAACTTACTAATTATCTGATCAAGTTTAGAAGATTCACATCAAGACCATGTCTTGGAAAGATGGGTTTCTTGGCTTTTTGCATGATCTGACACAAACTTGCTCAAGGATTGAGTTTTTTGTTGGTTTTTTTTTTTGGTTTTTTTTTTTTACATATGCCTGGATATAGTAGATGTAATTATGTTTTTCTCTCCCAAGAATAGGTCATTTTTTTTCAGAAAGCCATTGATGTGGAGCTTGTGTAGGGACATGTTTAGAGAAATAATGCAGTGGGAAGCCTGGACATTCTGGTGAACACAGGGGAAAGACTGAGGGGCAGAAGGGAGAGAGAATTGATGGCTTTGGGGGGATATGTCTTTTTTAGCAGGAAGCTGAAGATCCTTCAAACACAACTTTGATGGAGGGTTTTGAGGGAGCCAAAGACCCTGGCATTGTGGAATTTACAGAAGCTGAATATGGAGCATCCCTGGAAGATGAAGCCAGGCCTGGGGGCTACCTCTGCAGCCAGTGTGACCGGGTTTTGATGTCTATGCAGGGTCTGCGATCCCACGAGAGGAGTCACTTGGCTCTGGCCATGTTTGCCCGGGAAGACAAGTACAGCTGCCAGTATTGCTCCTTTGTCTCTGCTTTCAGGCACAAGTAAGTCGTGGCTTTTTTTTTTTTTTTTTTTCCTTTTTTTAGAAATTTTTTTCCCTTTTTTTTGGGTTTCCTAAAGAATTGCCAGCTAGCGGTGCTGGTTTGTGGGCTGACACTGAAGAAGAGCTCGCCTGACTTGGTGCTGAGCCACACTTTTCTCAACATGTGGTGTTTACATATTTTCCACTCTGCAAAGCCTTTGGCCTTATGATTGGCTGTTTGCAAAGATTGCACCTCCTTGTGTTCTTGAATTTGTGTTAGCCCTCTTTTTGCATGTCAGGGAGAAGCATGCAAGCCAAAGAATGAAGATTATTTCAGAATGCAAATGGTGCAGCCCACCACTTATGCCCACCTTTGTCAAATGCATGAGAATTAACAAGCCAAGAAAAGTCAGTCTTCCACATTTAAGAAACTTTTGTTGCATAGAACTACTTTATTTGTACTTACTACGGTTTTTTGTGGGTTGAGTTTCCATTTCTAATGTTTAAACAGCGCCATAAATTTACCTTAAATCAGACTCTTTTTTCTTAATTATGGCATGCAGTTTCAGTCAAATATTTCAAATTCATAACAGTGTGCTGAATGACTCCCTCATCCTGCTTTCCTTGTCTGATATATGGTAATCATTAATAGTCACATTTTCTATCATTTGTTTCCCTGACGTTTGGCTTAGCTTTAAGTTTGTTTGTTTTAAAAATTATTTTAATAGTAAAAATATATATGTCCCCCCCAAAAAATAGGGTTTGTGATACATTTTCCAATGGCAGCCTGGACCTGATTCACATGTCTGTGTTTCTTCTTAATTTCTGAGGAGAGAGCTGCTTGTTCATTGTTTTAACAAAAGGAGACAGATCCAGGTGCTCATTTGATGCAGCACTCTTAAATTTGATGATGATGTCACTGTTTTGCAATCAAATGCAGGTGGAAGAGAAGACATTTTTCAGTTCCTTGTGTTAAAAAGCAAAGTTTCTGCTGGTGTCACAGCATTGCAAATTCATGCCAGAGCTGGAAAGGTCCACAGGATTGAGCAGCCAAGGGTAGGAGAGGGATCTGGGGGAAGGATGCGCTGCTGGGTGTATCCCACCCTGTTTTGGCAAGGCTGGCAAGTGAGGGGAGCCCCTGCAGGGCTTGCTGTTCACCTGGTAAACTTGCTTCAACAGTCAGACTTTTGTTGAGTTTGGTGCCTAGTCACTCTGTTTCCTGCTGAGGGTAAGTTGTGTCCCAGAAGTTGCAGGATGGTTGCATCAAAAAGTGGTGGATGGCAGGGAAGAGCTCACCACCTAACTTGATAATAGGTGTGGTCTCTGTTGTTGAAGTTGTTTGCTTCTTTTATTTTTGTTTCTGATGCAATTATTCCCCTGGGAGATTAAGTCGATGAGGGAAACCAAGCCAAATGTTTAAACAGCCCACTATTCTCCCAAATCTGACCAAAACTTTAAAACCTCTTTTTGGAAGAGTGCAGCTGGCAAACTATGTGGTTGTGAACACAGTTTTAATTACTGCCATGTTGAATACCTTAAGGTATATATATTTATAATAGCTTAATATGTATTACATACCTCTTTGGCAGTCTGCTTTAATTGTTAAGTAATCTCATTCCCTAGAGGCTATTTAAAACAAGTTTTGTTCTATGAAGTATTCACTGTGAGTCTTCAAAGCCTTACTCATTTAGGAGATGTTTTCCCCCATTTCTCTAGAAAAGCTGTGCGTTTTGTCTTGTCCCAAACTCCATCCTGGATTTCTGCTAAGTTGGATTTGTATGAAGTGACCCTGAGAGGAGAGACAAGTTCATTTTCTGCTTTTTTGCTGTTATCAGATGTTTGAATACACAGGCTTCAGTGTTAGCTCTCGTAAACAGGGATTTTCTGGCTCAGGCTCTTTTCAGTGTGGGACTGAAGATCACGTGAGATCTTGTGTAGTGTGACAGGCCTGGAACAACTGCTATTTGAGCTACATGTTGATGCTCTGTAAAAGAGCAGGACAATTTAGGACAAATAAAAAGAACTACGCCTGAAATACATCTAGAACTGAGGTGGGGGTGGAGGGAGGTTTTGGCAGATTGCAGCTCCTGCAGTGTCTCTGCCCCGTTGTTGTTCCATCACTGCATGGGATGACTCCAGCTAAGACCAGATCACAAAGCATAAATGTGTCCAAGGTAGAGGCTGTACTGGAAATATTTACAGCTTGGGCTCAGACTACCTGCCTGCCACCCAGAGACAGTGAATTCATGTCTGTCAGCCACAGCACAGGAACTGCAGAGCTCTGCAGGATTCACTCAGTTAGAATGAATTTGATCTTCTGTTAGAAAATGTGGGAAACGTCCTTTTTTCTCCTCCAAACTTTACTGAGCTGCTAGGACAAATTGTGTCGAGAGCAGTTTTTGATCACTTCACAGTATTCAGGCTGTTGGTACTTCCATTTTCCCTGAAGAAAGTAGAGGCTGGTCTTTGCCACCCCTTCTTCTCCTGCTGAGCTTCATGCAGAATCTCCTGCACTGCTGCTTCTGAAACTCTGCTGCCTTTTAATCCTGGAACTCATCAACTGTAGCCTGCTGGCACCCTCCCCAGAGCAGGATCTCTAATCTGCTTTTGCTGCTGTAACCAAAAGAAGGCTTCCTCAGTAAAGCTGGTCAACAAAATTTTTTTTTTACTCTTGATCACCAGAACAAGAGAGGACATACATATTTTCACAAAAAATGTTCGTCAGGAGAAAAATGATGTAATGATAATTTAATAAGAAAATAATTTCTTGCCTGTTTCATGTTTCTTCAGCTGGTCCTCTCAGTCTGGATCATGCAGAACTTAATTTATACTAATCTTGCCCTATAAGTTTATTTAGGTGGCTTGCTCTCTGTATATACAGAATTGGTGTCAGCTCTGCTCCTAGATTCGTGCAGGCAGACCTGTTGAATTTGTTGCAGAGAGGAGTGTGAGAAAGAGCCCTTACTTGCTTTGCTGTTGCTGCAAAGTGCTTTGCTTTGCCTCTGAAGGCACAGCTGAAACAACTGACCCTTTTCTGTCTCCCTTTTCTGTCTCTCCTCAAGCCTGGACCGCCACATGCAGACCCACCACGGACACCACAAGCCATTCCGCTGCAAGCTCTGCCCCTTCAAGTCCTCCTACAACAGCCGCCTGAAAACCCATATCCTCAAGGCTCACGCTGGTAAGTTCTTCCCTCTCAGTCTTGCAGCTGAAATGGCCCGGTGTGTTCTTGTGGCTGATGGCAGATGCTGGGTTGAGCCACGTGTTTTGTCACCAGAACTGGGTAAGGTTTTCCCAAAGGCCACGTTTGCGGCTGGGCAGCCAATGGAATCTGTGGGGCTGAGTGGGAGCCTGGGTAATGGGAAGGGCAAGGATTTAAACTGATGGGTACTTCAGTACTTTTTTCTTCTCTTTTCCCTCACATGCATGATATTTTTTTCCTTATTTCTGCTTTTCTCCAAGTGGATTTCATCGCTTATACCATAGATGCCATAACGAAAATGGCAGTGAGCATTGCTCTGCTCTTTGCATTTATGTTTATGCTTTAGGTGAAATTTTTCTTTCTGGGAAAAAGACTGTGAACAGCACCTTGGTTTTTGGTAGAGTCTTATGCTGGCTTTCCTGTTAAAACCAAACCCTGCAAACACTGGGAGTCAGGTGTGTGTGGAACTGACTGAGAATGTCAAAATTCATGTTACCAGACGTGGAAATTTGTCTTGCAAATCTCTGTATTTCAGTATGGAATCCATACCAGCAAGCAAGCAAGACATGCTTCTGAGGAACAGGAATTGGGAAGGTGATGTGTCACACAGAGTAGGTCACCTGAAATTGTTGCACGTGTGATTATTAAAAAGATGAGGATTTCCTCATCTTTATTCCTTGGCTATAGACTCTTGGCACCGTCACACATCCTGCATCAAAAGGTTATCTTTTGGTTTGCAACACAAACGTGCACTCTGGTGCAAATAATAGCATAGTGACCAGTCTGTAAACCTGAAAACTAGCCCAGCTGTTTAAAAGTTGTGAGTTGAAACTCCTTGAACAGGAGTTTCTGATAAAAAGGACCCACAAGTATGTTCCTTTTTTTTATTTGTTTACTCAAAGTCATATACACTGGGGTGGAAGGTGGAAAAATGGGGAGAAAAGGCATAAGAGATTTGTAATTGTCTGCTGATACAAAAACAATATATTGTTGCCATTGATCCAAAGGCATTTTTCATCTACAGAAATATAGGAGGGATTGATGGTCTTGTGTACTTTGTTTCCTGTATTTTTTTTTTTTTTGGATTTCACAGAGCTTGTGCCAGTTTCTGTACTTGGATGGATAAAATAGATTAGCTCAACTTTTGCCACCTTCCTTTTCTATGGGAGGACCATGGCATTCTGTCCCTTCTGGGAAATCCAACTGCAGCAGTTCCAGTTCACAGAATCCCACATCCTGTATGGAGGAGCCATGGTTCTTTATTTTCACCAGCCATTAAGTAATGTTTTCTTTATGCTATTACACAGCTGGGCTCCTTGCTTGAACCTGCCAGATTTTTAGACCCAAAGTTACCATGCAACTAATATTTACTTCACACTTCTCTTCATGTAATTCGTTGATTTATTTATTAGGAATTCATGCTTCTGAGCTTTGTTTAGTGGACAGACACCCCTTGAAGGGCCATGTTTTGCATTCTACAAGAACACAATTTCATGGTTGCCTAGATAGTGCTTGCACAGTGACTTGGGTAATAGGGTTTCCAAAGGCTTATATATGTTTCTGCCTCAGTCCCATTTCCACCAAATGGATGGTCACGTCGCAGAAAAGTTGCCTGTATGTTTTTCACTCAGAACTTTGCTTTGGTGTGTTTTGAGTCAGTCATTCAGAAATATGTATTACTGAACAAACACGTCTGACTTCCTCAGACTCCCCAGTTTTTTAATGGCATGGTGGTTCCCTGAACCTCTCTTATGTTTCCTTTTTTGTTTTTTTTTTTTTCAATTGTCAATCGTCTCATCCATTCATTCAGAATTTAAAACTTCAGTCCTCCTGAATTTTTTCTGAACTCCTGGATATCTTTAAAAGTCCATAAGATCCTGAATCCTGAAGTATTTTACTCAGTCTGCCTCTCTGCCTCATTTTCTGGGTATGGATCAAAATTCAGTGAACTACAAAATCCTTTCTTGTGTGACAGCTGGTACCAGTGTTTCTGGCATTTGTTTTTCATCCAGTGTGTGCCATCTCCTCTGGCATGGAGCAGAACAGTTTACAGTTACTCTAAACGGGCTCTCTGTTGTTTTCATCTGAACTTTTTCACCTGTCCTTTAATTTTTTTAACTTTTTTTTTTTTTGCTTGTGTTTTTGAGGAATCTTTGTTACCAATTTCTTAATCAGCAATTACTCTGGAAATGCAGAAATGGGTGATTGTAACATAAGGGCATTGGTCCTGTTCAGTTTCTGTGTATTCTGGAACACAGTGCTTTGAGTACATATCAAGTGTTGAGACCCACTACATAAATGCTTACATTTATTTATTTGTAATGTATTAATATGATCACTTGGTGAGACACAAAACTAGCAGTCAAAAAAAAAATGCAGAAGACTTGTGTTGGGCCAAACTGTGCCTGATTGCAGAGGAAAAGCCAAAACAGCTTTTCTTCTGCAATCAGGCACATCCTTTCATGTTTTTGATATCCTTTGGAGATGAATAGTGGGCATATTTATTAGTGTGTCTAGGCTGCTTGGTGTGTAATCATCCTTTATTTGCTTTAATGTCTTGTGGTGCTTTTAAGTTAATGGTTGGTGCACGTTGTCATCCAGGAATCTCTTACACTGACAAAGCCATGAAGGTCTATATCTGTATCCCACTGGTATCTTGTAACCTTGGAATACCTTTTGTCCTTAAATTATTGTGTTCCACTGAGCAACTCGTGGTGCGTGCCACTCAAGAAATGTTGTATTTCTGTTTGTAAAAAGGAAATGTGTAACTCGTACAATGCACAGGTGAGGAATGTCATTTGAAAAAACACACAGGGCAGTTTTTTGTTTCACTACTTCAGACTCTCCGAGTGATCTGTTCTTTTTCAGATGCACCAAAAAAGGGCGTTCTAAGAGTTTGTGTTTTGTCCTGATGATTAGCATGGTTTTTCTGGAAGACAGTGGTGGGAGTTTTGTGGAGGATGGTTGCTAATCATTTCAGGTGTGCTTACTCTGAATGGCTGCAAACATGTGTGTTTTTATATTCTCTTTTGGTTCACTTATTTCTGGTGTGGGAAACGGTGCTGCTTGAGAGCCTTCTTTGCTGGATTTGTCAAGAGGTGGAAAACATTTTCTGCTTCATCCATTACCAAAACTCTCGTTCTTCTTCTGTTGCTGTTCATGAATATTTTGCTCCTGTATTAGTTTTGGCACTTTATGTACAACTCATATGTGGCCAGTGTTACTCTTGTACATGGAAGTGGCACTTCCAAAACAATAACTTGGCACCTGTATATAGAATCACGTTGTTTGTGTTGGGACAGTTTCACTTTGTGTTCCAATTGCCTCCATGCCTCCGTGCAAAACAAATCTTGTATCAGGATTTGTTTCCCCTTGTTTGCTGTCTCTATGGCTTGGAATGTATTCAAAATTAAATCCACTACTGTGCATTACTTCTGTTCTTTCACTTCTTTTAGTGGTTTCTCATAACACACTTCCACACAGCCTGGTAGATACACCCTCTTGCACTTGGCATTGCCATGTTCACCAGCCTTGACTTTGTTGCCACTTCTTTGAAGACTGATGCTGCCTAATGGCAGGTTTTTCATAAGGAAATCTGTAACCTTTCCCAAATGTAATTATACCACACACTTTTTATTTTTAATTTTTTTTTTCTTTCTTTCTTTTTTGTTTGTGGAGGGCCCTTTGTTAGAGTTTTGTAGTGTCCTTCTTGCTTCATTAATAATGACGCTGGATGTGCTGCATGCAGAAACAAGCTTCACCATCTCTGGTTGCTGTGCTCCCAAACAAATTTAGAAGTGCCGTGGTTAAGTTGCTCCATTTTCATCCCAGAGTCTGTTTTCTTCCCATACCATGCAACACAGGCATGCTGAAAGTCTGGTCTCTGTTTTTCTTGACATCAGCCGCTGTACAAGGATCTGCAGTTGCCAGAAAGTGATACTTTGGTCCAAAGCAGGTGTCTACACCCACAGACTCCAGGCTGCTCCAACAGGGAGGCATGCATAGCTTGTTTCCTTTGGGATCAGTCTTTTCGCTGAAGAGTCCATGGGAATTTTACTGCCAAGTTCAGTAAGAGAAGTGTGAGGGCCCCATTTTGTTTCTTTTGTGAGCTGATGACTTGCCTGTATTTCGCTCACCCAGGTGAACATGCCTACAAATGTTCCTCCTGCTCATTTTCCACCATGACAATCAGCCAGCTGAAAGAGCACTCCTTGAAAGTGCATGGGAAAGCACTGACACTACCAAGACCCCGCATTGTCAACCTTGCAGCCTCACACGCCCACCACACCTCCAAGAACCACACTCCTGCTGAAGAAGTGGAGGACTCTAATGGTAAGAGGTGCCTCAGAGCAAGAATTTAATTGTCTAAGGTGCCGCTTAATATTTTTATTGCCAACCAAATTGCAGCAGGCAGCTTTGCACCAAAAGCATCTTCGTATGGTCATTAAGAGGAAACCAGAAGTTGCATCAAAACCCAAGAGTTAAACGTGGTGTTGTAGGAAGTGATCTGCTTTAGGCCCTCACCAGTTCATACTACAATTATTTGTTCCCTCACTGCACCAGCTGACTTTGGAACATGTCACTGCTGGCTTTGCCAGCCGAGATTTACATTGTAGAAAATATTTCAGACTCATAATTTCCATTTGTAGCCAGTGGGAAAGGGGTCTTCAAATTCCATCCATGCTCCTGATTTTCTTTTATATTCATAGAATCATAGAATTCATAGGTTTGGGTTCGAAGGGGCACCTTGATGATCATCTCCTTTCACTCCCCTGCCATGGGCAGGGACACCTTCCACTATCCCAGCTGCTCCATCCAACCTCACCTTGGACTCTTCCAGGGATCCAGGGGCAGCCACAGCTGCTCTGGGAAACCTCTGCCAGGGCCTCACCATGCTCACAGGGAACAGTTTTTTCCTAATATCTAATCTCATGAGTAGAGCACTCTGATGAAACCACATGATTAAGCTTAAAATGTGAACCAGTAATAGTAGGAGGAGTAATTACTGTTGTTGTCTGTTGTACACCAAAAGTATCTTCAGATATTCAGCTGCAGGAAGGAGAACTTGAGCACTGTTTCCTTTTTTTCAGTGCTTCTTTTGAAAGCTTTTAATCCCCTGGTGCTGGAGGGGTGTGTAGAAGATGTTTGGAAAGCAGCAGAGGGAGGGACACTGTTTAAACAGAGAAAATGGAAGAGGTGGTGTGGGGTATCACAGCAAGCTTAAAGGCTTTTTAAGTAGTAGCTTATGAGGCATCTTTTGGTGTCACTTCCTACCAGTTAAGAGCTCTTCTTTGGAAAAAAGAAACCCCAACCTTAATTCCTGGATGAATTTCATTGACATGGAAGGAGAATATTTGCAGATGTTCAAAGAACTGGAATGTATGGAAGGTGTGTTAGAAGAAAGGAAAATACTTTTTTTTTTTCCCCAGAGGTTGAGTGGTCCTAGCTGCTAAACAGCAGGAATTTTGTTCTTTGCTGTTTTGCTTGTGATACCGGTGAACTAAGAATGGGAGGTAGATATTATCTGCAATCGTTTTGTAGCATTTTTGCGTCTCCTATTTTCCTTTCTTTCTCATCAGACAAAAAAATAACCTAAAAAAACCAAAAGTGAAATTAAAAGAGTGAAAAAAAAGAAGTTCAGAAAATGGCTGAAAGGACTTGAAAGAAGTAAATCATCAGCATAAAAACACCTTATTGAATAAAAAAAGAAAAAAAAGGCAAAATATTTTTGTGACTTAGCAAGTCACTTTTTGGGTCAGAATCAGAATCTTAACAAGAGATTTTGACCAGCTGCTCCCAGACAACCTGTTTGTCACTGGGTTGTCTGGAACAGTGCAATTACTGAGTTTTTTTGCTAATGCTGGCTTAAGCTAATCCAGCAAGCTGAGTACACCTTGAGATGTGTACTACTGCTTTATTTTTTTTCTGCTTTTAAAATAAAATGTTCCACTACTGACTTAAGAAGTGGAGAATAATTTTCAGTGGCTGTCCTATCCTTTCCTGTGTGTTAGCAGTCTTCTGTTAATGGTGTGTGGACAATACTCAGTTTTGGGAAGGATGACTCAGTTACTTTTTTTTAAATTTTGCTTAGCCCAGGAGCTCAAACTCTTGATTTGTGCAGTTAAAATTCAGGATACCTGCTGTGTCCTGTAGAGGATAATTTTGCAGCCTGTAAGAAGTCTTCCTAGAAATAGTTAAAACGATGACTCTGTTAACAACAGCATTTCATTGGGCTGACTTTCTTACCTAGACCTGTATTACAACCTGAGACCAAGGCCAAATTTGTCCCAATTAGCTAGATCATCTTTAAATGGGGTTAATGGTTAAGTCACTTTGACAATAATAGAAGCCACCCACTGGGGAGCTCATCAGACAAGTACAGGTGTTACAATAATAGTGTTAGCATTTTCAGCATTGCTTGGGGAAGGAATAACCTGCTTTAAGTAGTTTTTTCACATTATACAGTTGGCTGCAGATCAGGTTAATGGTGGCTGCTCTTATGGCATCGCAGGTTTTTTGGGTTTTTAGAAGGCAATAAATCATTGCCTCCGTGGCCCGGGCCTGTGAGTCACAGGCGGTGTGCAAGACCAGATGAAATAACTGGTCCCAATAATAGGAAATGCAGGCACTGTTACATCCAGCTGGAGTATTAGGAAAGGCTGACGTGGTGTGGAGTAGCTGGATTTTGTCTGCTGGTGTGTGTGAATGACCTGCAGTGTGAACCGTGATCAAAGCTAATTCACCAGGGAGGCAGCACTGAACCTGGGCTGGGGTGAAAGGCAGACAAAAGGCTGCATCCCGTTGTTAGGGAGCTTGTTTTGTGGGTTGATGGGTGTGCAGCAGGCTTGTGTAATTGAAGTAGTTGCAGAAAGGAGCTGTTCCTGCCTGTGAATTAATGCTGTGGTTGGAGTAGGAAGTACGGCAGGGTGGTTTGGGGAGATCTGGGAGCTGGCAGGACTCGTCGGCTGTTGAGCTCTGTAAAAATGTGGGAGAGGGAGAAGGGTACTGAACTGTAACAGCAAAGTGCATGAACAGAGCTGCTCTGCAGCAGCAGCCCAGTGGAACTTCCGTGATGCTTCTTTTCCCTGCAAAAATTGTTCCCTGAGGGGCCTTTCTTAGAACGTTCCTTTTGTTCTTTTGGATCCATCCATGCATTGAAAGAGGTGAATGCATTCATATTTCTGTGGCTCATCTCCTTCACTTCTGTGTTGGCAGCAGCAGACCTAATCTGAAGTACTCAGCTGCACATCCCAGAGGTGTTTTGGGGTGCATGGTAGGCTTTTTGTGGAACTGGAGCTAAAGTGGAGTAGGTGCTGAACGTTTTGGGTAGACCCATCCTTGCCAACTGTAATTCTGGTGACAGCTGTCATTAGAAAGCATAACAACCTCTTAATTCTAATTAATAACAATCATCCAGAGCGTGTGTGCTTCTCTCAGGGCAGTGGTGTAAGAAGGTGATGGTGTCATTCCTGATGAGTCAGCCGAGAAGGTTTTTTTACAGATGCATCATTCAAAGATCCTGCCTTTTTTATCCTACCCCTCTTTGCCTTCTGGGCAATATTTTAGTAGATAAAGAACCTGTTTTCACTGTATCCTCTTCTAACCAGAAGTAAAGCACTCTGTGGGGTTTTTTTGGCGGGGTGTGAAGTGATGATATTTTTGTTTGTGGGTGTTCTTCTTAAAACAGTCATTAAAAATACCCCTAGAAAATACTGGTCATGAGCACTATTTTTCTGGTTTTCATAGTATAGGGGCCTTGAATAGTTTGTAGTGTCCAGCTCTTGTTGACACAATGAGGTTGCCATTGTGATAAAATGTTCTCCTGATAGTTCACAGGTGTTTTTTGTCTTGCAAGAAGGAAATGGTGGGGGTTTGCTATATATTTGCATGAGTGTTTGGCTTGTTTGTTTGAATTTACTTATTTTCATTTTACACTAAAATGTTCCTTAACAATTCTGAGATCATGAGCAGCAAAAGTTAATTGTAAATGGAAATGCTACAAACTGGGGACTGGATGGATCTCCTCACAAAATCTGCTTCCATGTTCTTTCAGCCTTAGTGAGAATAAGAGCTTGTATTTCTGTTAAACCCTGGCCAGAATGGGGTTTTTGGGGTTTTTTTCTGATGGTGGTGTCATCCTGTGGGGCTGTGTGTGTCACAGGTAAGTGTTCCCAGCTCTGCTCCTGTTGAGGGCAAGGCAATGGAAACAAAAAAAAAAAAAAACCAAAAAAAAAAAAACCAAAAAAGAGTGGTGCTGTAAATGTGTTTTTGTGGTCAGGGGCTGGTGATCTGCCCTCCTCTTACAAACTGCAGAGGGGCACACGAGCTCAACCCCTTGCCACAGAGTCTGTAAAGCAGAGTGACTTAACTGAGTGGTGAGCAGTTTCATGTTGTGCCTTCAAACACAGCAAAGGCTTCTTGAGAGCGTGTGAAATACCTGTCCTAAGTTGCCCTGGCTGCTGTTACTGATTTTTGGAGTAGCCCTTTATTTTTTTTAAATAACCATTTTGGCCTAGCCATGTTGTGGAGCAAAGCACTGCTCTTTATTCATAATGGCTGGCAGATTTGGAGCCTCGTAAATTTCCTTGTGTCATGACTGCGTGCAGTAATTCAAAATTACAGCTTTTTAAGATGTTAGTGTTTAAGAATATTGAATTGTCAAAATGAAGCAGCAAAGTGCCAGGCTAAACAGACCTGGATGTGGTTTCTAATGTCTCCTCAGTCATGCTGCTGTGGTTGTAAGACCACTTCTTTTTACTGGCCACCAGTTCTTGATCTATAGAAAGCAGCACACTATTTGTGTACCCTTGAAGCTCAATAATTATGCTTTTCACTGCTGTGCAAACCAAACAGGATTTATCATTAATACCAGCACACATCACAAAACACATGTAAGTAAGGTCAGAACTAGAAGATTTCTTGAGTCTCCCAGTACATGGTATGTCAACATCTTAATTAAATTTAATTAATTGCAACAGCAAATGCATTGAAAACTGCTAAGTGAAACATCCAGTGCCCTGTTCCAGGATTTTTTTCCTGAACTTTAGCCTTTGCCAGTGGAAAATAACTTTGCCTCATCTAGAGACTGAAATATAAATACATCTGCTTGCTTTGCCAGAGCTAGGCTGGGCACAAAACTGCTTGACTAAGTCTTGTTTCTTGGACTGTTGTTCCAGAACTGTAAATCCCTTCCCATTTCTGTGCACTTTTTCAAAGCAGATAGTGCATAATCAGGCTGTGTGTCTTCTTCTGTGCTGCCTCACAGATGAACTCCTGAAGGGTGCAGAGGGCCTTTGGCAGGTTTTGCTAAAGCAATTTCAAGTAATATCAGA